TACACACATACTTGTACATATAATTTTAACTTTACAAAACCATCGTTATCATCACGATTTTTTCACAATAGGATACAGAATGTACATTTGCTAAAAATAGGACCACGCGACTTTTTATACAAACGGCAAGTAACTGTTACTATTTGATCATAATCGAAGCTCTAATTAATTGTTACTATATTTACGATAATTAATTATGAATAGTTTTTAAGATTTTGAAAGGGATAGACAAGGATGAGTATTTTTTTTTGCAACGAACTCAAGTCATAACTGCTGTACATGTGACATACAACAAACCGTAGATTTTTTTTTTTTTTTTTTTTTTTACGAAAGTCGGCCTGCGAGATTTCTGCTTGTAAGTCTGAAATTACGAAATTTTACAATTATCATTAATTATTATTGATATTTTTTTTTTATTTACGATGTGAAATTCTACTAATTTTTTGATGAACAGTAGGCCACCAAGCTGTACAGGTAATACTCATTGACTTTCTGTGTATACTGTTTGTGTATAGAGGTTAGCGCTTCCCACGGTCTGCACGACCGTCAATGCCTCGGGGATCCAGGCGTGTAAAATTTAGTCCCTCCCCTTACCTGAGAAAACCGTACGGTTAAAAATCTCGGCCTTTAAGCCCATGGGACAAACTGAATTCCCCTCAAAGCATAAACATTTGTTACAGATTGCTGTAAAGTATATAATGAAAAAATAAGTTTTTACTTAAAGGCAGAGATTTTAAGCACCGCCTTCAAAAATACCTGGTCTGGGTAGCACTGTCAATCAAGTGCATGAAGGTTTATCATTGGATGCTGGAACTTGATTGTCATTTACTTACTGATCTCTGTGTATATCCTGTACATCTTGTTTGGGACTCGTGGTAACCTTCTAATTAACTTATGATCCTTTGATGTTTACCAAACAGGGTAAAGAGAAAATGCATTCAGTAAAATTTTTAAGCTTGCATGATTATATGAATTAAATATACCTTTAGTATTTGAAAGGATTATAAAATAATATGCATTTTTTTTAAACTTTGGTACATAATTTTTTTTCAAATGAAATTTCGATATTAATTTTAATGTGCTAAATGGTAAACCTAAAGTGGAAATGTTATTGATATAGTTCAGAGAAGCACTGTGTAAAGTAATTAAATTAAAAAATAATGTTATTATAATCATGGGTCACTTAATATATTTTCCGTGTTTAATCCGATAAGAATTTACAAGCAATCTTTTTAGCATGTATCATGGTGACAAAGCTTTATTAAGGTTACATGTAGGATAAATCTAGATATATTTTTTTTAAGTGAGATGTAGTTAACACAGCTGTCTTTTCATTTAATTCATAGATGAGATCCTGGGGATGAATGATTTTAGTCTAATATGGTTGTCACAGGAGTTGTTTTTTTCTTATTAATACATGCATTAACATCTAAAACAATATTTGTTTTAATATTTGAATTAATTGTATGATATCATAATAATCTTTTTAAATGGGTAGGGGTGTTTTCAAACAGTCAAAAATTAAATCAATATATAATTTAATATAAAAAAGGTCTTTTCTACTAATTTTAAATCACCAACACAGGTAAAGTTTGACACCTGGGGTATTTCACTGTGTATTAAATCACTTCCTGTGTATAGGGATTATGAGACAGATGACCACAGGTAGACTACTAGCCCCTAAGGCATTCACACCTGTACAAAATAAGCCCCTCCCTCACCTGGAATTTACCACCCGGTAAAAAATCTCCGCCTTTAATTTAACGTTTTTTAATAAGCATACAACTATATTTTTACATTTTTTAGGATTATGAAAATTAGAATTTAAAAGACTTAGTTTTTTTAAAAAATTCACTATAATTAAAGGTCACAGTGACCTTGAAATAGGCCGCGACACACCTTCTACTTTAGATGTATACTTTTGCCAAGTTTGAAAGCTCTAGGTCTAATAGTTTTCTAGTTATGAGCCGGACAGGATTTTTCCATATTTGGCTATAGCATCTTTATTAAAGGTCAGAGCGACCTACTTTTTGTGCGCGACACACCGTCTACCCAAGAAGTATGAGTTGACAAAGTTTGATAATCCTAGGCCTAATAGTATTCAAGTTATGAGCCGGACAGGAATGGACAGACGGACAGACGGACGGACGGACACGAAGCCTATAACATAATATGTCCCGTCTTAAGACGGGCGTATAAAAATGAATACATGGTACACATGTATGATTGTAGCATATAAGACAACGATACACGATCTCATCTCTAAACAATTTTATGGTAAAAATATTGTGAAACTTTAGTCATTACAAAACTAACAAAAATCTTTCACGCAACTATTTTCATGTAAAAAGAAAATGGACAGAACGTGTTTCAACATTAATTTGTTTCTTTTAAACCAAATTACCGACAAGGAACACAAATTAAAGATCTATATTTGTGGCTTTTCTATCTATGAAATTGAAATTATGAATAAAACATTAAGATAATTTACATGACTTCTACGTAAAAATCTCTCATTAAACCCCTATTTGAATACTTTTTTTTTGCTACAGTTGCGAGAATGTACGTAAATCACCTTTCCTACATTTGTATAAAAATATTTATGATTTACTCTGTGTATAATCTCTTTCTTTTTCTCATAACAAAAATCATTGAAAAATATCGATACATAAATATATAAAATAAACATGTATGATATAGGATATCGATATACGAACTGTGAAAAATGCAGAAATGATTTTTTTAAATTTGATTTATAGTTTGCTTGTTTTTATGTATGAACGCATTTGTCTGCGGATTATGTTATTCTTTGTAAGCAATGCTGTAAATCTCATCACAATTATTTCATGGTAATAATACTGTGAAACTTTAGCTATCGCGAAACTCACAAAAAAACTTTCACGCAACCATTTTTATGTTAAAAGAAAATGTATATGGATGTTCCATTTAACGAGGCCGACTCTAATTCGACTGTGCATGACTTTTGCTCAGCTTTTTAATTTTATGCATTCATAAATGCGACGGTACACCTTCCACAAATATTGTGATTTCAATATAAAATTAACATTATCTGTCACGCCTACTGGTCTGAACATGTGATTTTATGACAATAATTTGAAGGAAAAAAAACGCTGAAATGGCTCTAACGACGTCACTGTTTTCCGATTTTGTAAGCAATGCACGACGTTGAGGAATGGCAAATGATTCGCTTATATTTTTGTAGACGTCCATGGATATTATACTAAAAACTGCTAACAGAACATCAAAAAAGGCATATTAGCAATCTAAATATTGCTATTTTTAACCCCCCGCCCCCCCCCCCAAAAAAAAAAATATAAAAAAATATCTGCTCCGATAATTCATCTGCACCGATATGTATTCATACCACAATATAGCAATTTTTGAGGTGTTAGGCATCGAAAAAAATGAACTTTGTAATTAAGACCTAGACCAAACTAGATTGTCAACTTTTTTGAAAGTATCTGGGAGGATTAGGCGAGTCATATGCCCACATATTGCCATTGTGCACCTCCTATTTTACTTTTTGATCCGACATATATTTTGGGTTTCCCATAGCAAAACATGGACACTGCTATTTATACACATATGGGAGGCGGGGGGTATCATTTAGTGAGCCCATTGCTCACAGTACCTCTAGTTTTATACCTTGCGGTTATCGTTACAGTAATTTTAACGTGATGCTTTTCAAACTGCGTGTTAATTGTTCTATCAAATATATTTTCAGGTGTTTTGAGATGGTACGCTTTACCTTTCCTTTTAACTGTTTTGCATAGCCATTTCGTGCTGATATACCCATCATTATTATACCCCCCGCTTAAAAAGCGGGAGGGTATATAGTAATCGTTAATTCCGTCCGTCTGTACGTCTGTCCGTCCGTCCGTCTGTCTGTCCGTCCTTCCGTATGTCCGTCCGTCCGTCTGTTACGCTTTGGGGTACCCATCTCTTATTCGCAACTCCTCTCATACCACTGAATGAAATTTGATGAAACTTTCACAGAATCTTTTTTATATATTGCTATTGTGCACCTCCTATTTTACTTTTTGATTCGACACATATTTTGGGTTTCCCGGCCACAGCAAAACATGGACTTTGCAATTATAACTATATGGAGGCGGGGGGTATCATTTACCTTGCAATCGTGTTATGTAGTCATGAACTGAATACATACAAAATATTATATACACAGGTGTCTTGAAAACTTGTTTATTATAGGAAATATATTAATTTACCGTAAATAAATTCATCATCTTATCTATTCAGTTTGTTTTTAGTGAAAAAAATATATTTATCTTAATTTCAACCTGAACTTCAAAAATCGTGCTTCGAACACTTGCGACAGTTAACTAGGTGCTTCAACACCGCCGCTATGACTACTGAGCCACGAAGTCGCACATACAATACCCTTTAAATAGCAAACAGTTCTCTATGTATAGCAAACACACAATTGGACTTGGAGTTTTTGAGAATATGTTCCAAAATTTAAGTAGGTAAAGTAACTTTTTTATATAGAGTGGGTCTTCATACCATTTTTTTTAAAATTGTGAGATACACCTTCCACACCCTTTCAATATTTGTTTACGATTGTCGATAAAATGGTACGAAGACCCACTCTATATAAAAAACAGTTTTAACATTCCATTTCTATCATTTTTATGGTTTCTAGTTTTTATCTTTCTCCATTGCATTTGTTTTATACTGAATTTACAAGGCATTAATCCATATTATGCAAAAAGAAAATCATCATTTGCAAAATAAAAATTTCAACACAATCAAAACAGAACTACATGTAAAGTTATTATTACATAGTACACAGTCTCTGTTTTCAGGTTCTCAGCTATAAATTGTCAATATTTGGGTATGACTTTCTCTCTTGAGAAAGTAAAATTTCATACACCATTACGATTGTGTTCACAATATTTGTGCTGTTCTGTCTATTAAACATCACTCATAATCCAGCCACCACAAGAAAGCTTCCTGCAAAAGTTTCCTGTAACAGTGTCAATGATAGCATCCCCTGACAGTATCAAGTCTGTTGTCTGGCTGGCTCTATGTAGTACAGATGTACCTGTGAATCTCCCCCTACTGCTAACACTGGTAACTGAGCATGCCAACTCATCCCATATGATACTTTTAACGAAGTGTTCAGAGGAACCTAAAATTAGAATCAGTCAATAAAAAGCAGATTAAATTTGTATATTTAATGTGTAAAGTATAAAAGATATGAATTAAATAAAAGATGTTAATGACCTGGATCAATTTTACACATGTACATGCAATAGTTCTGTCATATATCTAACAAGTATCAGCCAACCAATCAACTGTTTTTTAATATATTAGTAGATTCAGTAACAACTTAAAAGGGAATTCTCCTTTTGTGCATTGAATCCAGAGTTTGTTTGTTTGTTGTTTATCTTCCCTGTCAAGAATTTTTCACTCATATGGACACACCATCACTTGCCCATGGAGAGCTGCAAATTTTGACCTATACTTGGCACTCAAGGCCATTGAGCACTGAGGTATCTTTTTCGTGCCAGCACCTACTGCAACAAAGGACCTCAGATTATAGGGTCTCATATCTGCAGGACCCATTTTCAAGTCCCACAGTGGGATTCAAAAACACAACATAAGAATCAACTCCCAACTCTGCAATTCTTGAGCATATGCTATAACCCACTGCTACACCCAGGCGACTGGAGCAAGGGTAGCAAGATCTATCCCTCTTTTTAAATGCATCAGAGACAAAATTAAGGTAACATTTTAAATCATAAACAACCTTACCTGGTGATGCCTTGTATTGAACACTTTGATTTGTCTCCCTGGGCGGCCTGATGTAGCCAGTAGATTAGGCTGACTCCTACACCACTTGATGTCTCTAACGCCATCTGTGTGGGCCTGTCTTCTCTCCAAGGGCTGACTAAAAAACAAGAGGGATACATCATGAATCTTTGGCACAATACAAGTTGTACACTTGTAATAGTCAACAGATCATATTGCAAATGTAAATTTCCATAGAGCTAAATCATTAATAAAATACTGAACTGCTCACAGACGAGTTCACATTTTTTTTACCTGTAAACTCTTACCTTGACCCAGATAACTGGAACACCAGCCACTCTGTGTCGGCAACAGCTCCTATGATGTCCTTCAGCTTACCTTGACCTAGATAGCTTGAACACCAGCCACTTTGTGCCAGTTTCAGCTCCAATGATGTCCTCAGCCATACCTTGGCCTAGATAACTGAAACACCAGTCACTATATGCTGGCTACAGCTCCTATGATGTCCTCAACCTTACCTTGACCTAGATAACTGGAAGACCAGCTATCTGGAAGACCAGCTATCTGAGCTTACTACAGCTCCTATGATGTCCTCAACCTTACCTTGACCTAGATAACTGGAACACCAGCCACACTATTCCGGCTACAGCTCCTCTGATGTCCTCAAGCTTACCTTGACCTTGATAACTGGAATACCAGCCATTCTGTGCCGGCTACAGCTCCTATGATGTCCTCGTCATCTCTACACCAGTCTATCCCCATCAGGGGGGAGATCCCACAGTCACAGGAACTGATCTGGTGCTGAAGGTCAAGGCTAAACATCTTAATGATCCCATTCTTCTGGGCCACCACCACCTGTCAATAACGACCAAAGCTTACAACAACAGGCATACTGAGTGATAATCAACTGTGTTTTATGGTACCACTTGTTAATAACAGAACTTAAACAAGAACTGGTTTGAAATTGCTCACAGTTTTATTTTTTGCAATTTGCCCTTACTACATTTGGCCTACTCCATTACTTATGATATGGAATACCTCACCTTCCCAGATTCTTTTTCATGGATGCAGACTGACATGCCTGGGGCACTGAGCTGGAAGCATGCCTGTTGACTACCATCATTCCCCCATAACCTACACGTGTAATCATCTCCTGTTGAGGCCAGAATGTCTCCATTTTCTGGGTTGTATGTGAGGGCATTGATAAAATCTGAATGACCTTCAAGTACCTACATGTGGTAACAAAAAAAACTCAATATAAGAAAAAGTGCAGCATTTCTTCAATATATGTATACTTTTAAGATAAAATAATTCCTTGATTTTATCATTTTTTTTTTTGTTCTAGAGCAATACAGATTTTCCTTGTCTTTATAATTACTTCACAATTTTTTTTTTTGAAAGCCGTAGACATGCTAGGGTTAATATCTTTTTAAGAAAAAAAAGATAATGCTATACCTCTGCCTCTGTTCCTTCCACCAGATCTGTTGTGAATATTTTTATTCTGTTGTCACTTCCAGCTGCTGCAATTCTAAAGAGATATAAAGCATAGAGTGAAAGAGCTGTTGCACTTAAAATTCTTATCATACATGATAGATGATATCTGTAACATGTGTAATGCAGTCATATATAAAAAAGAAAATTTCTGTATTCACCAACAGGTAACCAAGTAAATAAGTAGTTCAAATTGAAATTCATGACAAACCATTTAATTTGCCCTCCCTATTAGTATTACATTTGATGTTAGCATCCTCCCTTTAAAATGAAAACTACTGATTCATCTTTATGTTTAAAAGTAATCCATTAGCACTTAGCACATAAAAAGTGGTAAATGCATACTCACTGAATAAACAAATATATCCAAATAGTAATACCTGATTGTGTCTGGCTGTTCGTAGGACTTGTACGACGTCACTGGTGACCACGACAGCGACCGCACAGGACAGCCATTTTGTATGTCTATCAACAGCTTGAAATCAAAATCCTCATGCATAGAATCTTCTCCTTCATCATCCTTCAAAAAAAAAACTAGATGCTGTCATGAGACAGTAATACCCGCACTAAGGTGTTTGCCTCTAATTATAAATGCACACTCCTTTAAAATTAGGCTTTACCAAAGAAAAAGTCAATATAATTTAATAATTTACATAATAGGGCCTCCATGTATTCATCAAATTGAGCATAATATTCTCAAGTGAACATGTGACCCGTCACCATGGGCCTCGATCTTATAGGTACATGTATTTCATATTCATAATTCATTACCAGTCTGAAATTAAACAACAGAATTCAATTAATGAATTAGGTTTGAAACAAGGGGGGGGGGTAAATTTTTGGCCCATAATTGGAACTTTTTAAAATCTATTTTCTCATATAGATCAACAACAAATATTATTCAAATTAGTTTAAAGCGTTTTTGATGATTTTTTCCAAAATGTACAAACTTTTTTATACTTGATTAGGCAGAAACACCTTGAAAGCTGCCATATACCATTTATACCCAATCAATTTAGTCAACCCCCACCCTTCTCCCATCAACACACACACGCGCAAACACAACCTATTTTCCTGTTTTTGGAAATAGGCCTAGATGGCAAAGTTAAGATAAAACGTCTTTTGTAAATAATAATTTTAAATTTGTTCTTATACTGTAAATGTATCTGAAGACCTGCATCACATTGGGCTTGCGTCACGTACCTAACTTAAGTACTAGTTTTACCATTATCATTTTTAGATAGCACTGCACGTGCAGTACTACTACTAGGCCTAGTGTTGTGTACACATCATTGCATGTATGTCAGTTGGAATTATTTTGTGTTTAATTGGATTATATTTCATGAAGTTGGAGCTATGGCAGTCGGTAAGTACACGTTTTGGTATAGATTTGGGTAAAATAGTCTGAAATGCAACTGGTTAGGTTAAAGTTTAAAGGATCAAAGGTCATCCGATGCTGCAATAAGACGAATTTCACATTCTAAAGAGTTATCGCCCGTTATCGACGTTACATTCAGTTACAAAATACAGAATTTTTTTCTGAGAGGGAGGGGGGACTTCCAGACCAGAATTTTCTGAGAAGCAAATAAAAGGAGAAGTTATGGTGGTGTCTGTTTTCTAGGGTGGAGGGCATCCAAAGTCTTTTTTATATTATAGTCCTACAAAT